AAGTAATACTACATCTATACCAAGGGCCACCAAGCAGTTTACTGTATGTCTACAAGTCTAGAATATACTGCTATATGTCCGTGGGAATATAACAACAAGATTGCAACAACTGACTTCATGATATACAATATCACATGAAGAGATTTTAACCATATTTTATTCCATAACTTTCGTTTTATAATAATTTTAAAATTCATTATATTTGTATACCTTGTATCTTATAATGTAACAGTTATCAAGTATCCAGCTTTACTGTTACAATGAAATTGCAGTTCAGGAGTGTGTGAATATACTGTGGTAATCATGTTCTTGCCTGATGATGGCTTCAAAAGCCGAAACATGTAACCAAGGTAATTTTAACCTTGACCATTATACGATTCTTTATTAGAGTCCGTCGCAACACAACAATACAATGGTCAGGGCTAAAATTAGCTTAGCTACATGTTTCGGCTCTGAAAGCCATCATCAGGCGAACACATGATTACCATATTTACACAATACTGAACTGAAAATAGGGTAATCATGTGTTTGTCTGGATGGCTTTAATAGCCGAAACATGTAGCTAAGCTAATTTTAGCCCTGACCATTGTATTGTTGTGTTGCGACGGACTCTAATAAAGAATCGTATAATGGTCAAGGTTAAAATTACCTTGGTTACATGTTTCGGCTTTTGAAGCCATCATCAGGCAAGAACATGATTACCACAGTATATTCACACACTCCTGAACTGCAATTTCATTGTAACAGTAAAGCTGGATACTTGATAACTGTTACATTATAAGATACAAGGTATACAAATATAATGAATTTTAAAATTATTATAAAACGAAAGTTATGGAATAAAATANTACATCTTACTCGGTACCGTTTTATTTGCATGCAGATTGCTTACATGGAAGGAAGAGTTTAAATCACCGTTGTGAAACAGACTCGTACAGAAAATATTTTAATTAAAAAAAATAAGCTTACATGACGAGACACTTTTTTTTTAATTCACATAGTGGGGGGTGGAGTCCAGCTGGTCCACTCGGCACGTCGACCACTGATTGGCGTATTGTACCTGCCCCAGGTGATTATGATGATGGTGAATCGGTTGGAATGAAGATTGGCAAGGGAAACCGAAGTACTCGGGGAAAACCTGCTAAACTACCACTTTGTTCACCACAAATTCCATTTGACCAGACCCGGGTAGGAAGCCAGCGACTAACCGCTTGAGCTATGGCGCGGACTCTGACGAGACACATCGTCATTTGTTTAAAGTAACGAAGTGAATGGGTTAAACTTTGTGTGCACCATCTTTGAGGATACGTGATCACCGATTAGGCAACCATATGGAAGATTAGTCTTTTGTGTTCAACGAAATCTACCATATGGGTATTCTGTTTCTCCCCATATATTGAAAGTGTAATGCAGTAAGTTTCTACTGACGATGTAACGATATAGGTCACTAGCTGGTAATGACATAATTTAGGATCGGCTGTGCAGGATCTTCGGGTATGAGAGGTATGAAATTACACTAATATAAGGGCTCTTAAATGAGGCCGCGCCATAGCTCAAGCTGTTACTCGCTGGCTTCCCACCGCGGCGCCCCGGATTTGATCCCGGGTCTGGTCATGTGGGATTTGTGGTGGACAAAGTGGCGCTGGGTTGGGTTTTCTCCAAGTACTTCGGTTTCCCCTGCCAATTTCATTCCACCAAATTGTCCGTCGTCATAATCACCCAGGACAGGTACAATAGGCCAATTAGTGGCCGCTGTGCCGAGTGGACTCAGTTGGACTCCACCCCTCACTAAGCGAAAAAAGTCCTCTTAAAAGTGGCATTTGGAAGTCCACGGATGATGTGGGAGATTACAATTTATCTTAGATAAATAGGTTATGAGGATGACGAATATAACTGAAGATTTGATTCTAGACAGACTGCTAGAGAATTAGTTAATGAAACCTACCGTATTGTTTGCATGCGAAACTTCTTACTACACGAACTCCTTTATATGCGAAATAGTCTGTTATTAACTCTACAGTTGAACTGTCGATATTAGCTACCACCGAAATCCTTACGGACGAAAGGATGAAGAGTGTTGTTACATGCACAGCTACAAACATGCTTGTTTCTACGTGGAACTGTGATATTCAAGTATATGCTTCGTCTCAAATCATTTAAGCAAGTAGACCTATCTTAATATGATGGGCATCAGAAATTCGATGCTGAATCTGGTTATGACTGACGTTGCATGTTAGAACCATATTAACAGGAAGCTTTCAAACTTTTGAGCAATGTACTGTAAATTAGCAAAAGGCTATTATGTAGTCAGATTTTATAGTTGTCAGTAGGATATTTTTCTTTAATATTTTATATCAATGTATTCCTTCTCTAAGTATAATTAGAATGACCAAGTCAAGGAGGATGAGGTGAGCAGGGTATGTAGCACGAAAGGGGGAGACGAGGAATGCATATAGGATATTGGTGGGAAAACCAGAAGGAAAGAGACCACTGGGAAGACCAAGGAGTAGGTTGGTGGACAATATTAAAATGGATCTTAGAGAGGTAGGATGGGATGGTATGGATTGGATTGATCTGGTTCAGGATATGGACCAGTGGAGGGCTCTTGTGAACACGGTAATGAACCTTCGGGTTCCATAAAATGCTGGGAAATTCATGAGTAGCTGCAGAATTGGGATTTCCAGAAGGGCTCAGCTCCATGAGTAAGTAAGTAAGTAAGTAAGTATTCCTTTCTTTATATTGATTATTTCTTTTAAACAAGAATAATATTCATTGGGACAAAATTAATAGCACGTCTGTGTACTGGAATGATTTCACGAATATCTTAGTATTGTCTGCTTGAACGTGTGGACATAGTTTTTTACATATACAGTGCCTTCATGAGATTTGACGCTCTCATGGAGGTGACCACGAAGATAATATTCGCTTTAAGTTACTCTGAGCTATCATAGTTGCATATGAAAAATCAATGATCGTTCTGAAGGTTATAAATTTTGTCCTTATTTTCATTTATTACTAGATAATTACCGTGAAAGCTTCTGCTGCCCACAGGAGTAATTTCGGCCACTAGATTGCAATAATGAAACGTTATTTTATATTCTTTTTGGTGTATTACATTTGTTGTGGGAGTCACGCAACTCCCATCTGGTGGCTCCCATCTCATGAATGCACCGTAATATTTATGTCTGCAATCAATCATTACCCACCGCTTGACAGCGCAGTATTTTGTGCCCTTCAAGATGTTATTGTTGATTTATGCGTATTCCTCTTGTATGTAACTTACTCGTTATTACGGCGGTTAGCGGCAAACATCAAAGTGTAGTAACATTTCTGCTGAGTAATCGGAAGTCCCGGGTTAGAATTTCGGCCTTGAAACCCATTATCTGGCCTAGTATTTTTTTATTTTATTTTACACATTATCTTCAGGTGGAGGATGGGATTGTATGTTAAAATAGACTATTACCTGCACTTAACAGTGTTTGCAAACCCATTCGACGCTCTGTGATCTGTTCACAGCGGAAAGTCTCATCAAGTTAACCAAGAAACAAATAAGTTATAGTTGCTTGATATTTTAAGAGTATAATGTAAGTGTTTAAAAACTGTTCGCAATAATTATAGACGGTCCATAAGCCCATAACGCTCAGAAAATTTATTTCTTCATTCACCTAATCCTTGAATAACTTACAATAATTATTCCCCAGATATAAAGATGTATGCAAAGTACTGCCATCTCGGTACTGAAGAACTGGATGCGATCCATCCTCTATTTCAAGTTTCTCGTTAATTCCGAGATGCGTCTTTTGACGTCCTCTGTTCTAATGATTTTCAATAAAATTTCTGTCAGAATGCAATGGAGATATAAATATTAATTGTAATCAATACTCTCCCCTTTGTGTTAACATTTAGCTACTGAATACAATAATGTATACAGTATACAGTTATGATTGTACACGAAAGGGGGAAAATTGTGTATTGTTCTCTTTACCCGATATTGTAAGACATTGTACAATAACCGTCTAGGCTTATCTATGGAAGAAATGACGTTGGGCATAGACACACACATTAAACAATTTATTTCTCCCTGAAACCACGAGACAGAAAAACGGAGAGTGACTGGAAGATATAATTGTCTTGTATTATGATGTTTCTAAACAAGTTATCAGATTTTATGACGTTTAAATGGCTAATGTGTCTTAAATTAAATACAAAATTTTCGTGCTTCAGCTAAACTTACACTTACTTCGATTCACGAACTTTTAACTTTTAACAATTAAATTAGAATAATAATTTTAACCTGTGTTTTATAAAAGAACTCGATATATTAGTGGGCGTAAGTCTGGATAAGATACAGGGTCGAATGAGTGAAAAGTGAATGTAACCGCGTGTAATTATACAGCCGTGTTCATACACCTGAGGATGACCTCTTGATGTCGAAACATGTAGTGATAATAAAAAACGTTTAACAATTTTAAATTTAAAATTTAGAGAAAATTTTAAAGTATTTTAAAATTATAACTAAAGATTTTATAGTGCTACTATAGGAAAACCAAATTGACGTGTGCAAAATAATCTACATACCAGACACATATCAAAGAGGTAGATGTTGATAATAACGAAGAAAATAACAATGTGTTTTTTAAATGTTAAATTTAAACTTGGTTCAGTATGGCAGTAACGTAAGAGTATACACCTGATGATGGCCGTTAGAGGCCGAAACATGTAGTGTAGAAGAGAATTCACTCTACTATTGATTAAACACACAACAGGATGCAAGAAACGATTAAACTTACACATACACAAGACGAATATCAGTTTAGACTTGCTAGAATTATTATATGTGAGCATATGACGCCAGTCATGGTATACAAAAATGAGAGATTGAGCGTGAAGAAGCCACAAGGTGAGAATTCAATTCTCATATTGCCTAGCTGAGTTGAAAAGTCCTTCAGTTCATTAACAGTATCATCTCCTAAATCATGACACAAAAGTAACTTCTCAACGAGAATCAGCGACAGATTGGCTTCTTGCGTAGTCGTGTGACATGTGAGTGTGATTGCTACGAGGAGTGTAATACAAAACATGCACCAACACAGGCTTAGTATCACTTCGTGCTGTTCGGCCGCTGCTGGTGAGCTGATCACTTCCTGGAGAGAAAATAGACCGTAATACAAGACGAACACAATTGTCATGAATATCCAGAACGTTACCATGAAGACTGGGAAACCGTAATTTGACATGATGAGTGTTGCTGCGTCATGCAGTTGACAGTGAATCACCCTCAGAGTGCGAACTAGTGTTTTCTTGCGGTTCTCCGGGAATCTTGCGTCGACTTCATTAGCAACAGTTACTAATTCTTTAACGTCCACACTGAACCACATATTCCTATATTCAGGATCTCTTAGCAATCTGTTAATACTTGCATATCTTTTCTTCAACATTAGAACAGCATTCACAAATTGAATTGTCACTAATGTATTTAAGAGAAAACTGAAATTTTCTGATATCATTACAACACATCCCCATAAAGTACCATCGTAGAAACTGTAGACATTGTAGCAATGTAGGAACCCAAGCACAACTGTCAGAACCACTAGTTGAAGAATTAGATACAGTCTCACTTTTCTGAAGGCACGTGTATCTTCCAGATTCGAAAGCAAAGCTTCGTCCACTGCCGATACTTTCGTGATCAAGTGAGACACTTTTTGTCTGTTGACGGTTACTCCCAGGATCAGCGAGGCGATGCTTGTCAGGTACAAGGATATCAAGTAGATATCGAGTGCAATACAGATCTTTGTTGGCATTCCCTGTTGCTTGTAAAGAACGTCGTGTGATATGTGGAGAGTAAAACCAACAACAATCCCACTTAGCCACATAACTGTCCAAATAGTATCTACATATTTAAAAACAACTTCTTCCTTTCCATTCTTCTGGTTCTTTTTATATGAAAAAGGTGCCAGACCAAATGCTTTAGAGACGTAGTACAGAGGCTTAATAGCTGAGTAAATGTCGCTTGTTGTTAGCGGATGCTTCATCTTGTAAAATGCGAATACTACTTACTACAGCCACATTCAAGTTGAAAATAACGATGATTCCCGTGTTCTGAGTGAACTGGGATTGGAGCGAGACCATTATGGGGTACGTTTAGAAGCTTAATTTTTGTGTATAATGTTTAGACATGTTTATTCAACAGTAACTAGCAAATTACAGTTGAAGTAAACTTCACAGCTTAGGGTTTATTGTTTCAAATAAAGGAAGGTTGTTCCAGGTAAATGCGAGAAATAAATACGAAACAGCTTTCGTTGAATTTCTTCATACTACTACAGTAGAGACATGAATACTCTGCGTTGTTATCTGTTGGAAATAGGTTAAATGAAGAATGCATGCATTTTAGCCGGGAAATCTGAAGGAGAGAAAGCACTTGGCATGAGAATGTGGATGGGATTCGCTTTGCTCAGGTTACAGTTCAGTGGCGGACTCTTGTAATCGTGGTAATTAACCTTCGGGCTTCGTAAAAGGCGGGGAATATCTTGACCACGTGAGCTAATGTCAACTTTTCAAAACGGAATATGTTTCATTGAATTTGTTAATAAGCCAGTTATGCATTATTTGATACTAGCTGTGCCCGGCCACGCATTGCTGTGGCTAAGTCTGCCCGTTCCTCCCCAGTTTCATTTGAAATTACTCGACGCATTGCTTCCGCTTCGCGAGTACGACGACCTAAGCTTGTTCTTCTGCGAGGCATTATTTGGATGAAATATTTCAATTCAAACGCAGATCAATCGACACAGCTCAATCCCACCGCCAATTGCACTGAAAAATAAGGAGAACAGTTAAGAAAACGAAATGAAAAACAATGAAAAATAAAACTATACTCACGAAATGAACGCTATGGTAAACGACACAGCCCAATTCCGATCGCATCTTCAAGTCTGGCTGCACGTCGCTCTGCTGCTTCCTCGGCACGTATTTGAGCCTGTCTTCATCTCTTTCGCTCGTTCGCTGATGCCCGTTCTTCTCCAGTTTGATTTGCAAATACTCGACGCATTGCTTCCGCTCGGCGAATACGACGACCCAAGTTTGATCTTCTGCGAGGCATTATTTGAATGAACTAAAGCAGATCGATTGCACTGATGAAGAAAAAAATGCTAGCAACGGGCCACTGTTATTGCGTTTCCATGGAAATATACGCTAACTGCTCTAGCGTTACTATTGAAACGAATGCTGGATGTCGAAGCGATCGGTGAAGAACTTTCGGAGATCTTCGATAAGAGAAAACGAACATTTACATTTTTATTTAAAACTCTTCGGAGCTGGACTATTATAACCTGGTTTCGGACGCAATAGAGGGCACGATCTGTTGTTAGCAACGGCCCACTGTTATTGCGTTTCCATGGATCTTCGATAAGGATCAAACGAACATTTACATTTTTATTTATATAGAAGATAGATAGATAGATAGATGAAAACGACACAGCCCAATTCCAAGGCAATGTCACACGAAAAATTAAATCAAAATGAAAATAAATCGAAACTGTTTATATTCGGCGTTGGCTATCCCAAGACTAACTCCTTCGGCGCTAACCTCCAGGAATTACGATACCACCCAGAATACCGTACTCTTTATAGTCGACCCCGTGTACACCTCAAACCCAACAGATATGGATTAGCTTCTCCAGGATTCACTTTCGAAAAAGGAATTTAGATTTCCGACAAAGGAAATGAGTTGTACACACGTCTTGATTGTCCGACTCTTGTGGCTTTGCTTTGGTCCTGAGCATCAGTACTAATTTTTTCACTTTTCGCTTTCGGCCACTTTTACATCTAGCTTTGTATTTAAGGTTGATATCTCCTGTCTCTTTGTGTTCTGTTTTGATGTTTCATGTACTATTAACATATATCTGGGCGATAAATCGAATGCTTGTGCATGTCATGAAAGCAGTTAAAGATTAAGGAACCGCATGGAAGTAGTCTTTGTTGCATTGAAAAATAGGCAAGACATGTTTCGGTTATGAATATCCTTGCATTGTCGTGAGGTTTAACGTAATACATGGCGTTGATTGTAAAAATGTTATATGTCGAAAAATGTTTGTTATTCCGACCAACAAATTTATGGTTACTTCAGTAAGACACGTGCAAATGGAGAACCGTGGATCGCATCTGTTCAGAGTAATATCGCAACACTAAAGGAAATCTTAAATTGTATTATTGAGGAACATTTTTATGGCTTTTTGTCATTTTTTCTCGTGGTTTTGCTGGCTTGGCGTGGTGGAAGGGCGTTCTTTGCAGTAAAAGCATAAAATTAATTAATGATGAAGTTTATTTCTACGTATTTCGTCTCCAGTTTGAACGGATTTCGATTAAATTTGGTACTTGATGCCCAATAACAAACGTCGATGGACGGATTTTGGGCCACTCTAATGTAACACCTATATAATGTGATGTTTATAAAAGACATCATCAGTGATATAATAGAGGCTCATCAGATAAGCAATAGATGTCTCATGAAGATCTACAGTTTTATTTGACACTTTTTTTCGGTTAGGTAAATAGGCTTATCAAAACAAAACTACTACCGTAGTAAATAAGTTCGTGGACTGTCCGCAAAGCGTCGTTTGCGGTGCACTACAGCGGATAGGTTGAGACACGATATGATGCCCTGTTCATCTCTCGTCTCAGCAAGAGGCAGTTGTGTGCAAACAGTGTAAGCAGAAATACGGCCTCTGTTGTGAACTACAGTTACATGCGAGTGGTGGAAATTGAAAATGTGGCAGTTTGAACAACGGGCAAACATCAAGTTCAGCCAGAAACTAGGCAAATCCCCTAGCGAAACATTTGGCGTGGGAAGAATTGGCTGTTGCTACACGACAACGCCCCTGCAAATCTCTCTGTTCTTGTGCAAGAGTAACTGGCAAGGCAACAGGTCACCGTTTTACCACACCCTCCGTACTCACCTGATCTCGCACCGTGCGATTTCTTTCTCTTTCACCGCTTGAAAGCAAAGCTACGTGGTTGTAGATTTCAGTCGTCCGAGGAGGTGGTCATTGCCACAAGAGACGCCGTACGGGAATTTCCTGACAATATGTTTCAGCAATGTTTTCGACAGCTATATCAACATTGGAAGACTTGCATAGCAACCAACGGCAACTATTTTGAGGGCCGATGTGGATCTGTGTAAGTGTATGTGAATACTTGTAATATGATGCAATAAAACCACAGTCCACACACTTAATGACTCTACCACTTATATCTAACTAACCAGCTTCATGGAGCTGAGTACTTCTTGAGAAACCGCCAGTCTTACAGCTTCTCAAGAACTTCCTAATATTTTATGGGACCCGAAGGTTCATTGTCATGCTCACAGAAGCCCTCCACTGGTCCCTATCCTGAGCCAAATGAATCCAGTCCATACCACCCTATCCTACCTATCTAAGATCCATTTTAATATTGTGGCATGGAGACCCGTTGCTAGTCAACGGCCCCGAGACAAGAAGCTATACGACATTCATTGCTAAGTAACAGCTCCGCAAAAAAGAATGTTTCCACAGCAACGAGAGAACACAGCAATCATGAAGAGACGATTTCTGCGCCGTGCGTGCCGAGGTGTTGGAACCAGTGCCATGTGGAAGCGGGTTCGTATGCGTTCACCGTAACCCTGCAAGTCGTCGGAGGCGACGAAAAGTGAACCCCGTGCCTGGGGGTATAACTGGATCACCGTGTTCCTGTGGGATATAAATACGGGGACTTGGCCCTCCAGGTTGGGGGAGTCTCGAATCTGAGGCAGTAAATTATGGTCATCTCACTTGAGAATGACTGTGCTGGCGATGTCCAGCAGCAGTTGTAAAAGACAGACCCGTCCTCTCGTCAGAGAGGGCGCTCCAGATCAACAAACCTGAAATCGTATGACAGTAGTAACTAGCAGTGTAACTAACCTGACTTGCTGGGATTCAGTCTCTGTAAGCTGTTGCTGTTAGAAACTGGTAGCTGAGGCCGGGGAAAATTTGGGAACCCAGAAGAAGGGTAACGTCCGCCGTTGAAAGCCGCTACCAAGCAACGGCAGTGAAGACGTAACTGCGGACACTGGCGTATGTGTAATAGTGAACTGTAAAATGTATGCACGCGTTGTATCAAAGAGTCAAATCCGGTCATCAATCCAAACCCTGTCTGTAGTCACACTCCATCACGTTACAATATTACCCATCAACCTACATCTTGGTCTTCCTTGTGGTCTCTTTCCTTCTGGCTTTCCCACCAATATCCTATATACATTCCCCTTCGCCTCCATCTGTGCTGCATGCCATGTCCATCTCATCTTCCTTATCTTGGTGATTCTAATCATGGTTTGCGAAGAATACAAGTCATGAAGCTCATTATGCAGTTTTCTCCAACCTCCTTACTAGCGTTAATTAAAGTTGCTGTGAAAACAAAACTACAGTACACTCCAATCACAAAAGATGTAGCCGGTGAAGCTGAGCTATGCTCCGTAACTGATACGCCACGCGTGGGTGAGATGGACGGACACATAACAGCTAAAGTAGCTGAGTTGTGCATACAACGTAAATCTGAGATCATCTAGGAGACTTTGGCTAACATTGAATGATAATACTAAAGTGGATCGTAATGAAATAGGTTATGAGATTTTAGACTAGATCCAGTCGTGGAGTTATTTTGAAAAATGTTCATGAAACTTCGTGTTCTCTAAGGAATGGGGAATTTATTGGTCAGGTCATTCAGCCTCAGTTTTTTAGGGTAGTCTCTGAAACCTTGGGACGGATAATATGCTTCCTGCTGATGTACCCCTTAGTTTTGATGTCCGGAATTTATCAGGATGTCCGGTAGTTGCCGGAATGCAGTGCCGTTTTCTTCTGTTGTCATGAAGTTTGCGCTCGATAGACAGAACGATGAGACTCAGGATGGTTCCGGCAGCGAGCAGGAAGAGGGCAAAGGCCGTAGCTTCTAGCTGCACCTCTTGCACTTCGCTGGCGCCGCAGCACTTTGGAGGCACTGCACGCCACAGTTGCAACTGCCGCTTCATGAGGCCCCGTTCCAACAGCGCTCGGAACCTGCTTGCAAACACAACACACTTTCGGAAACATCACTTATTGATTTCCATGATAACTGAATCCAGTTTCTCATTGTAATGTTTCCACTCTTATTTAGTGAAAGTACAAATAATTTGTGTATAAAATGTTCACTTCACTTTAATTGCGGTTTTGTGCTTGCATATCCGTTGCTCCAGATTCTTGTCACACATGTTTCCGCCAACAGTATATCACGGACACGTACTATTTGCTCAGCTGCTTGGGAACGAACTACCCATTTGTTCTGTGGCTCATGTAAACGCAAGTTGAAACAGGTCCAAACGTGCCTGGGTACATGAGTTTGCCTGACTCAACGCCCTAGCGACACGCTGACGCCATTCCGGGAATTAAATTGTCGCACCTTGTAGGCTAAAATGATGCTTATACATATACAGTTCTTTTGTTGTCACTTTGTTGTTGTTATTGTTATTATTATTATCACTGATGCTTTATTTTGTAATATGTCTTTATAATGGTGCTAAATATTTTCCCGCTGTCCTAGAAACAGTCGCCAGTCGTGTTCCTGCTTGGAATATATGTAACTACTAGTTCAGTTTCACCTCCAGCCATTGTCCTTGAGCTGGATGTGTAAATCTAGGGATATTTTTATGAGCTCACTTAAATGTAAACAACATTAACTGATGAATTCGGCTTTGTTTATTGTTTGTTTTGTCCTCGTGTTTGTGATATTGCTACTGCTGTTTGTGTTCGTGCCGACTCTGTAATTTGCCACTGGCTGTTGAGCTCAGCACATNGGCTGTATGGAGAAGTGGATATATAGATCCACGTATTTTCTTGACCTAGAAACTAGTTGGAGGTGAGTGGACAGCCATAGGCCCCGGCCTCTTTTTCCTCCGGCGAAAGAGATCACGGTACTTATCGGATGGAAGGCAGGGTGGACCATAGAGCCGATCTGTACGACGTGGAGGAGAGAAAATTCTTGACCCTTCCGGGACTTGAAGCCCAACCCCTCGGTCGTCCAGCCCGTAGCGCAGCCATCGACCGGAACAAGTGGTAAGGTCAAGGAACAGACCAATAAGGGCATCCAGGATAACTGAAATTTCGGCGTAGATGAAATTTCATCTCAAATATCATCAGACACCGGAAACTGCGCAGGAGTGGCTAAAATTCCAAATATTTTATACTGACTTGTAGATCGTTGCACCACATTGAAAATCATGTCGAACTAGGATATGATCAAGGACCGCGCCATAGCTCAAGCGGTTAGTCGGTGGCTTCCCAACGCGGGTTCCATCTCGGGTCTGGTCAAGTGGAATTTGTGGTGGACAAAGTGGCGCTGGGGCAGGTTTTCTCCGAGTACTTCGCTTTCCCCTGCCAATCTTCATTCCACCAATTGCTCCTCAATCACCCTCACCTATCATCTGGGGCTGGTACAATAGACCAGAAGTGACCGCAGTACAAGGGACTTAGTCCCACCCCACTAGCAATAAAAAATGTATCAACATTTTATCTGAACTTGAAATATAACTATCGGGTGCTGGTTTTCGCACTTCCTGCAGATGGTCACACATCTTGTCGACTTATGGTGACATTTATATAAAGAAACTGTTTCGTCGCTTGAGTTCTGTCGCATATCTTACCCAAATGTGAATAGTTTCCGGTAGGGTGATCCTTTCTGTATGATGGTGTATAATATCTCAGAAGTGAACGCTTCCACTTCAGAGAGAGCGCATTTGTGTCTTTCGCTGAAGGTGTCCTCGATTAGTGGATACAGGCTGATCGCCTCTCCTTGGATGGCGAAAGCTTCGTCCCTCATCTTCTTGACAGCCACTTCCCTTGAGAACTCGTTTGGTAGCGACTGCGAGTGTGGGTGCACCTTCTTGGCATACAGCTCCTTCACGATGGGGTTTGAATTCCTCTGTAATGTATTGAGGCTTGGTTACTTCTTTGAAATATTATATTAGAATTTAATTTAAATTATGTTGGACTCATCAATGTTCATATTTGAAACATACAAAATTTTCAGGTTGCATTAATGATTATTATACCAATTTTTAAGAAGTTCTAAGACTTCTAGAAATATATTGCACAGGTTTATTTTTTGAAGGTGCAACCCATCATGACTCAGGAGAAGAGTAATTTGTACCTTAAAAAAGTCTCGGTTATAGCTGACATTCACATAGCCGACTTTGAGGTTGCTGTCAATGATGTCTCGAACGGTTCGAATGGTTTTCTGAGATGGTCCGACCAGAGATGATACCAAACTGGCACCATAATAGTTGTTCACAATCAGCGATTGCACCAGCGCAAACAGGAGCAATATTCGCCAGGCCGTCTGCTTGTTGTGTATTTCTGTGTCTGAACATGACGAATTGGACAATTCCAGACAACTATAGACAATTAGAAGAAATACAAGGTGTGTCCCAAAAGTCATGATATATATATAATAATAATAAATTTATTGATGATATCGGTACAAAGTGTTAATATTCTTCAAAGTACTGTCCATGAGCATCTACACATTTTTCCACCGACTCTCCCATGCCCGGTACGCCCCCTCAAAGGCCTCGACGGGAACCTCATTTAAAAATGTTGTCACGGCCGCTTGGATAGCCCGAATGCTTTCAAAACGGCGTCCTTTGAGTGCAGTCTTGATCCTCGGGAACAAAAAGAAGTCGGTCGGAGCTGGGTCGGGGCTGTAGGGTGGCTGCGGCAGCGTTGCCACGTGGTGCTTCGCCAGGAACTCACGGACGAGCAGAGACATGTGGCTGGCCGCATTGTCATGATGCAGCCGCCAGTTAGCGGCGATGTCTGTTCGCACGCGGATGACCCTTTTCCTTAATCTTTCTAGAACATCCACGTAGTAGGGAGCGTTGGCGGTCGGTCCTTTGGGTAAAAACTCTTTGTGGACCACACCCTTGGCGTCGAAAAAGACGATGAGCATTGTTTTCACTTTGGATTTGCTCATCTTCGCCTTCTTTGGTTTCGGGGAAGCCGAGGTGTGTCATTCAGCACTCTGGCGCTTCGTTTCTGGGTCGTATTCAAATGTCCACGTTTCATCACCGGTAATAACACAGTCTAAATAATGAGGTTCAATTTCCACACGTTCCTTAGTTCACTCGAGATCAACACTCGATTGGCCTTTTGCTCGCCCGTCAACAATTTGTGGACCAGCTTGGCGCACACCTTTCGCATGTTCAATTCGTCCATAACGATGCGATGCACAACGGTTTTTGGAATGCTCAGAGTGTCGGCTAACAACCAGACAGTCATTCGACGGTCAGTATTCAACAAATCATGCACACGAGTCACATTTCCATCGGTTTGGCTTGTTGATGGCCTTCCAGAGCGGGGGTCATCTTCCACTCCTTCCTGGCCCTCCTTAAATTTCTTCACCCACCTTGTAACTTGCACATATGATAGAGCAGACTCCCCTTAGGCTTGCTTAAGCAGTTCGTGAGTTTCGGCAGCTTGTTTGTTGAGCTTTGTGCAGAACTTGACCGCCCAACGGTGTTCGAAAGTATCCGCCATCGCGCGCCGTGACGTGGTCACAAAACACAGGTGCAATAAATTAGCGATACTGACCCCTCCGATGCTCGAGCAGACTGACCTTGGGCGCGCTGTGAAGCTAAAGGCCTCCCTCCCTAATCCAACCGGTTCCAGCGCGCTCCGACAAGTAGGAGCGCGGGAAAGAAATATATTTCATGACTTTTGGGACACACCTTGTAAATGTCTACTGAACTTCATTACTTACTTATGGAACTGAGCCCCTCTGAAGGAGCCGCCAAATCTGCAGCTACTCAAGAATTTCCCGGCATTTGATGGAACCCGAAGGTTCGTTACCGTGTTCACAAAAGCCCTCCATTGGTCCCTATCCCAAACCAGATCAATCCAATCCATACCATCCCATTGTATCTATCTAAGATCAATTTTAATATTATCCTTCCACCTACACCTTGGTCTTCCCAATGGTCTCGTTCCTTCTGGCTTTCCCACCAATATCCTATATGCATTCCCCTTCTCCCCTATTCGTGCTACATGTCCTGCCCACCTCACCCTCCTTGACTTGATCATTCTAATTACACTTGGAGAAGAGTACAAGTTATGAAGCTCATTGTGCAGTTTTCTCCAATCTTCTGTCACTTCACCTCTCTTCGGTCCAAATATTCTCCTCCACACCCTGTTCTCAAATACCCCCAGTCTATGTTCCTCCCTTAATGTCAGAGATCAAGTTCCACACCGATACAGAACCATAGGCAAAATTATAAATGGTTTAAACACATCAAGAAACGGTGTTAATATGTTTCAGAATGTTATTTCTGAACAACAGAATAAAGATTATACCCGTCCAACCCACACAGAAGCAGGAATTTTTTAAAATTGAGAGTTTTGTCTTGTCCCTTTCTCCGGTTCAAGGAATACGTGCCTTTTGCAGAGTTGTTAAGGCGTCTGGTGGCGAGCGGTACTTCCACATCCCACACCGCCTATAGGAAAAGTGGGAGAACCTGCAATCCGCCTTCAGTGCTCAGTCAGATAATTCTAAAGGCCTACCTTCGCAGTACCATTTCATAAGAGTGACGCAATAACACACACCATCTGCATGCTTACTCAACATCTCACATTAGAGTGACAGTAACAACCAATAAAGCACATCAAATTTCCCCGTTGAATGCTTAGTCTTGCTTCGTATGCGGGAATCCCCTGGACTTTTATGTCCTTCGTGATCCTCCTTCCGTTTGACCGTAACACAGTAGAACTGTAAGAGAGAGACTGGCGGCACACATTATCAAGCTGTTGCAAATTCGAATAATTTTTTATACAGTTCTGGCATCAGTATTCTGACGGTCATTTTCGCGTCGTCCTTAATTTCTTGTTTCAGCCTGTGGTTATTTCAGTGATAATTTTGGTCGCCTGTTTTCTACATTCTTGTATTCATATTTCTCTAGGTATGTCGTACATAACACACCGGTAATGCATTTATGAGCAAGACTTGTAAAGAGATTTGAATATAATTTTATATATGTTTGGGTGTGTGGGTGTCTCTGTGTACATTTGTGTGTGTTGTGTGTGGGTGAGGATAGGAAGGAGTAGTGTAGAGCAAGCACTGAAACATTTCAAATGGTTACAAGAATAGGCCTATACAAAGTAAGTTGCCTGTCTCGCAGCAAGTGTGTTTAGCCAGCATACGAATGAGTAGGATGTAAACCACACCATGGTTGTCCTTCGCTTTACGAAGTAACCATAATGAATTAACTAATAACAGATATCCATCGTATTAGCGCTGGACGTAACTTGCCCTTGAAATAATGCTGTGGTTGAGTGATCTCCTATTTAGGAAGTATTGGGATCAAATATCTGCCGAAATTGACTAACCTGGGGTATATCATGGGTTTTCTTAGTTTGTCTAAGCAAATGCCCAGCTGGCAACTCAGACTACAGTCCATTCGCGGAGATGAGAGAGTCCTCGTAAACAAATGCACGCAGTATCTCCTTCGCTCTTTGAATGAAATCATGCAGCGATCACGTGATGCGTGTACCGTTGCAGGGGCGTCCAAAGTTCACTTTTCAGTCTGCAGGTTAACATGCGTCCGAATGCAGTGAGTACACTGAAATAACTGCGCCCTTTGTCCACTCCTTGCTCTCAGCTGTGGCGACGCGGGGCTTGCTTTGTTTAAGCTAACTGTCTCGTCTCCGCGAATGGACTATAGGAGACGACCGCTTCCTTCCTTCCCTATTCATCTATCTATAACTCTGGAGTCGTTTTGTTAGGCCTTAACCGCTTTTTCAATTTCTTAATCCTATACACAGTCGGTAGGAGTGTTTGGACGCGGGATCAGCCCGTCGCAAGGCCGCTACCTACGCGTAGAACAACACAAATACAGAACAAAGGCACACAGACACACATACTCCAGTGAGATTCGAAACCACGAGCCCAGCTTTCGAGCGAGCGAAGACAGATCATGCCTTAGACCGCGCGGCTACTGTGATCGAAGTTCATTAGTAACTGTAACCCTACAATTCTGTTCTGTATAACCTGAGCCACTGAAGGCAGCATTAAATAAATAAAGCACCCTGCTGAGTGATGGTTGCAATGGTCACGAAGAAGGCAGCGCTCCATGATTGGTCTGCCGCTGAGTTCCGAATTCTATGGCCCTTGAACATGGCGATAAAGCGAAAACTGAAGACGAGGAGGAGCCACGACGCAGCCAAGCAAGGCCACACGGATACTGTGAAGGGTTGCAACAGGGCGTAAGGCGTGGCCGTCGTCGTAGGGTGCACGAACATCAGAGGACACCTGTACAGCAGACAAATGGTTCACGTCATTTCCTGTCACCGTAATTACAGTGGATACTGCATTGTGTGTGACAGGTGGAAAGCCTAGTTCACAATGAGCCGACAGCGCTAATAACGGATTATCGGAGCAGTTTAGGTCCAATATGCGTGATTTATGAACCGACCTATGACTAGCTCTGTTTCACACTTGAACAGTGCAATGTATCCTCTAATTCGAAGGACCGCCCATCTGTTCATTTTTTCATTCTTGCAATAAGCGCGTTCTGCTCTCATATTCGTGAGCCTGCCATGTCTCTTCCCTTTCTCCTTTCAGCTGACATTTCAGCAGTCTCTACTCTATCCTTCAACGATTCATACTTTCAGTACATTTAAAGAATTTCCCTTTGTGCTCTAATAAGACTGCCTTGCAGTGAGTTTGTGTGTATTCCCCCCCCCCCTTCCGTGCTTAAATCACCGCACCGTGAAGACGTATGAGAAAGTGGAGATAAAACTTTGTGCATTTTTTTAACTCGGCACTAGATACATACGAGCGCTCAGCTTCGTTTTCCGGTCTGTGGTCTAGTGGTCAGAGTTCCAGGCTACAGATCCAGAAGTTGTGGTTCAATTCACGGCTTTAGTAGATTTTGTGAGTAGTAGTGAGTCTGGAACATGGTCCACTCAGCCTCGTGAGGATAATTGAGGAGGTACGTGTATATCAAGGAAATGGCGGCTCCGGTCTATAAGACCGAAATTAACTGCCGTGGGGATTCGTTGCGCTGACCACGCGACACCCTCTATCCGCTAAAGTTGGCACTAACTTCGCCTACAAGCGGCGGTCGCTCGGTCGGTATAGTTCTTATGTGGACTAAAACCACGGTGTTAGTTTTGCACTCTGTAAAAGAGCACCCGATACTTACTGGATAGGATACCTGGGCCCCAGTACCGGTATGGACATGTTTGGAAAGATAAAAATACCTGCTTTATATCAGAGATCGACCACATGTCGTACAGCCCGGAGCCATTCACTATACCGGCCGATCTATCCCTGCTCATGAACAAGTATTTTAGCTTCATTTTCAGCTTGTATGCTTCGTATGTACTGGCGCTAGTCGAGTATTAACAATACTCGTAATGAACGGGGAGTCACGTTTGTAATTAGTGAAGCACTTTCCACCTTATGCGTGGAGACATGAAGCAATCCAAACACCTGCTTCTTATTGAGTAGTCCCAGTCTATTCTAAACATAAACGCTGAGAAGAAACAGATCTTACTTAAAGAGCCACGTCGGTGCTGTGAAGTCCACAACGTCGAGACGTGTAGGCCATATCCGGACGGCAGAAATTCCAAGCTGCACTTCTCTTCTCTGCAAGAGCCCCACAAGTCCGTCGTACGAGCCATTTCTTGTGGGATAGCCATATGAGTTGGTAGCCTGTAGGGACAGCCTGAAGAAACAGAAACCTTGAAATAAGCGTTTATCTAGCAACAAACAACTAGCGAGATTCCTGAAGCGCGGAATTGCCTTTCCTGGATTAAATGCAATTTGTTATTTGAACTGTGATCTCCACGTATGCTTTTGTATGAAATAATTGGAAACCCACGGCTTCACCAAGCAGTTTGATGTAGCGGCAACGCACTATTGTGACGTGCTGCCTGAAAGCCGGACTATAGGACATCCATCGCTGCGCAACGGACAATGAGAACGCATGATAATTAGGACACTGCCTACCCAACAGAGGCAGAATTGTTAAATTCCAGCGGCAACTGATATTTCATCTAACGGCGAAACTTACGCTTTCGACTAGGTGGTCTCTATCCAGTCCGAACGTAGTTTATAAGCGAAGAACAGTTCAGAGGACCAAGTCAGTTGAGATTCAACGAGCGATCCAAGAAGAGCGAAGAGCCAACATACTCCACCGGCAATAGCCGTGCAAGAGAATATAACAGTTGAGGAGGTAACGTCTGAAGGCGTTATAAGTGAGAGTGGTTATGATTTTGAGTGTAAAAAGTGATTGTCCAATAATCGTAAACGTATTATTCAAATCCGAAAGCCATACAGTTTTCTTGTCGCGTTACGTAGGAAACGTGAGACATTATATTTGTAATCGGAGTGTAGGCTGGCCGGGTTTCTTGCAGTCCTGATTGAGGCATTTTGTATTTTCTGTCTAGACGAGGATGTGGTTGCTGTCAAAATCATCTCCTTTTCAGTCAACCTACGCAACATCATTGATCTTCCCATTTCATTCGATGATAGTCTGCAGCTGAATGAGCACTGTTATCTAAGAATCAATCACATGATGTTTCTACCGAACTTCCCGGGGTAATAGTTAGCACCCTTGTTTCGTATTCGACAAAGTGGGCATTCGAATCTTGACTCTGGTACTGGCTGTACGTAACGCTGTGGATTTTTATTCGAAAGATTCTTAGTTAGAATCCCGTCCGGAACACCGTCTGTCCTGACTTATATTTTTCTTGTTTTTCTTAGTGTGCCCTTGCAAATTCCGAGACTGTGCCCCTGTTAAGCCACATTCACTTCCTTCCAGATGTGTTCCACTTGAATATTTACCATTTATCCTGCCATATGACGCTTTGTCGTAGCAGATACTGACATCGCCGTAAGTGACTCAGCAAAAACTGAAGAGGTATAGGGAAGTAGATGTAAAATTGTCGAGCATTTTTTTGACGGGCTGGGCAGCAGGCATTCAGTTCAGCCTAGAATATTACTCGTCTGCTTCATGTCCGAAACAGCTGTTATCTCACGCGCCTCTAGTGTTAGAGGCGAGTGAGATAACGATCGGGAGCTGTTTATACGAACCTTGAAAGGTTCCTCTAATACGTCGAAACTTTCTGTAGTTACAACATACATCAAGCCTAGAACGCTTCAAATATACATGAAAATGTATAGTCCTATACAGTACACTTCAGAAGAATGTTTCAGTTATCGAATTTTAGCACAGAACATCTTCTAGCGTAGTCGGTATAGTGACTGGCTACGAGCTGGACGACCTAGGGGTCCGAGTTCGAGTTCCGGTAGGGTGAAAATTTTTCTTTTTCTCCACGTCATCCAGACCGCCTGTGGGGTCCACCAAACCTCCTATCCAATGGGTACCGGCAGCTACTTCCCGGGGGGCAAAGCGGCCGGGACGTGAAGCTGACCACTGACTTGCAGCTAGTGTCGAGGTCAAGAAAATGTGGCTCTGTACATCCACTCATCCACACGTCTTCACGGCGTAGTGCTTGCTTAATTAAGCACAGGGACAACTTTATCTTCTCTCTTTTTTTTAGCCGTCTGATTTGTTCAATATCGTGTAACGAAAGAGCAGTACGAGGCATATTCGCCGTGCCGCGGCGGCAACTTCTCCGACATCTGTGTTATGCGTGTAGTCTATACGTGAGTTACAAGGCGTAAAGTACACGCGTGAACTCCATGCAGCCGGACCTTGAGAAGCTACTCAAATTCCCAGCATTCTATTTAACCCGAAGGTTCATTACAAGAGTCTGCCACTGGTCCTTGTCCTATTCGAAATAAGTACGCGAATTTCTGCTAGTCGTTAAGGAACACGTTGCAAAGAACTGGCGCAGGACTCCAGCAGAGGGTACACTTCATGGTACAAGGAAACTGAAGTGTTCTGAAAGTAGAAAAGGAACGGAATATCAACAAATAGCGGTAGCTTTCGAGGTGTGGCTCAGAAACAAAATTCGAAAACTTCACATATTAGATTAATGTTCTATTGCTTGAGTTATCGTAGACTGGCTTTGGCTTCAGTTTCGATTATGGAACGTGTGGACGGAAGAGGAATGAAATAATAGGAGACTGGAGATAACGACACAGTGAGGAGCTTCATAACTTGTACTCTTCGCCAAGTAAAACTAGAATGATAATGCAACCAGGATATGGGCAGGGCATCTAGTACGCATGGAGAAGAGGAATGCATAGTGGATTTTGGTAGGAAAGCCAGAAGGAAAGAGGCCGCTAGAAAGACCTAGACGTAACTGAGAGGATAATATTAAGATGACTCTTAGAGAGATAGGATGGGATGGTATGGACTGGATTGATCTGGCTTAGGATAGGGACCAGCGGACTGTCTTTGTAAATATGGTAATGAGCCTTCGCTTTCCATAAAATGTTGGGAAATTCTTGAGTAGCTGAGCGACTGGCGGTTTCTCAGGAAAGACATACTTCTATTGTGGAAGGAGTCAGCGGTGACAATGTGTACACTTACCTGAAGTTGAACCAGTCGCGCAGATGTGAGTATAATGCATAGTGGTACCTCGCCATGGAATCTGAGTACTTGCTGTCAGGACTGGCGAGGAGCGATTCAGTTATGTCCTTGTGGATAGCATTCACCTTCACAACAAACATTTCACGTTAGAAGTTTTTTGACCACAATAACTTTTCCATATTTCCAAGGAATTTGTAACTGTGGAGATAAGATAATATAGAGAATTTTGCGTGACTGAACGCTTGAGGCGTAAGAAATTTGGTGAATAAAAGTAAATATATATTTCAACGCGCTGTTATTAGATAACTACAGGAAAATAATGAAAATGTAGCCATAGAATTGATAAACTTTCTGTAATATTCAAGGACCAAAGTAAGGTCAAGTCATTCCGGGCAGATATCCTGTCTGAATAAGAATGTTCTTTAAAGCCGACTGTTTGGAACATGATGTTTACTGTACTCTGTAGAATGTGATGTATCGTTTGATTTGGTACGGGAAATCGCTCATGGCACTCATGGAGCTGAGCCCTTCGAGAAGCCGAAACTTGTGCAGTTACTCAAGAACTTCTAGCATTTTATGGAACCCGAAGGTTCATTACCATGTTCATAAGAGCCCTCCACTTTTCCCTATCCTGAGCCACATCTATCAAATCCATACCATCCCATCCTATTTCTCTAAGATCAATTTTATATTCTCCACCCACATACGACTTGGTCTTCCTAGTGGTCTCTTTCCTTCTGGCTTTCCCACCAATATTATATATGCATTCATCTTCTCCCTATTCGTGCTTTATGCCCTGTTCATCTCATTCTCCTTGACATGATTATTCTGATTATACTTGGAGAAGAGTACAAGTTATGAAGCTCCTCATTATGCAGTTTTCTCCAACCTCCCGTCACTTCATCTCTCTTCCGTCCAAATGTCCTCTTCAGCACCCTGTTTTCAAACACCCTCAGTCTATGTTCCTCCCTTAATGTCAGAGACCAAGTTTCAGACCCATACAGAACCATGGGCAAAATTATAATTTTTAATATTATGATTTTTGTGTTTTTCGACAGCAGACGAGAAGACAAAAGCTTCTGGACTGAATGGTAGCAACAAATAACAAGCTCCTTGGCATCAGTCCGCAAGCGAACTATATCGACCGAGACCCACTACTTCTCAGAAAATTTGGTAATGCCGGGAATCGAACCAGGACCTCTGAATCTATAGCCAGGAACTCTGACCACTAGAGGCGGTCGAATGCTAGCAAGCATTACCCAGATTCAATCTCCTCTTAATTTCCTCCTGAATCAGATTTTGATTTATTATAGTCCTTTCCATATATCTGAACTGTACCATATTTTCAAAACGCTGGTCACGGTAGCCGAGCGGTCTAAGGCATGCACTGTCTTCGCTCGCTCGGAAGCCGGGATCGTGGGTTCGAATCCCACTCAGGGCATGGATGTTTGTGTGCGTTTTTCTGTGTTTGTCTAGAGGTAGAGGCCTTGCGACGAGCTGATCACTCGCCCAAGGAGTCCTACCGAATGTGTAAGATCTAGAAAAACCGAAGTGAACGGAGTTCATGGAGGTAGGCCTAGGCCCACTGGGGCTGTAGTGCCAAGGAAAAAGAAATATTTTCAAAACATCTGTTAACTATCTTCATCTCATGATTTTGCCCTGCATTCTGGTGACGAGACAGCGAAATATACTTAGTTTTCTCTATGTGCTTATACACAAACCTCATTACTAGCTTCAATTAAAGTATGTGTTTTTCTTTGTGGTATCTATATCATCACCAATTAGATTCATATCATCAGCAGAGATCAACTGCTGACGTGTCCCATTCAATTTCAGTCCCACCTGGTTTTCCCGGACCTTCCTAATGGCATATTCTAAAGCAAAATTGAAAAGCAGTGGCGATAAAGCTTCTCCTTGTTCTATACGAAACAAACCAATACATATATGAAACTGTTAGAAACATTGTAAGATATCAGCAGGAATAATATGTGTCTTAAAACATATTAGGGGAAATTAACACGTATGGGAACTGTTGTAATAATTGGTGCCATACATATTGCAGTTCTATCAGTATCTACTAAAGGTATTGAAATATGTACTCTAAAGTTAATTTAGGCCCTTAAGTGAGTTGGCCTTTAAATTCATTAAAATCGAACCGAAATCGAAATAGCTCAACAACATCTGATGTACGAAATCCACTATATCGAATCTGATCGAAATCGGTCAGATGGTGTGCACCCTGTTACATGTGGACGGACGAGATAAAGTTTTTATTATTTAAATTTATTTTGAATGCTCATAAAAATACAACCTATTTTTCATGTGTTTGCCTTATGGTACTTACCACAATAGCCCCCTGAAGTATCAGCCCTTCCAGATTTCTTCTGCGTGTGTATTTTTGGTCCTTCAGATAATTTACGAGACCTTGAATTTTATCCCAGTATCCTGAAGGAGTTACAACCAGTCGGCTGGTCTTGTGTACGTCATGCAGGATGATCCTGCGCATGTGTACCACTGATGTGGCCCACGTGACGTCACTGTCAATGTTGTACTCTATTGGTGTATCGTACGAGAAGTGATCTTCGCTCCAGATGAGCCACTTGTACCTCGAAGTCAGTAAATTTCTGGAAGAACTCTACAAAACAAAAATTAATAAATCCAATGTTCTCTGAATGGAACTGAGCAACATTTACGAGTACTTAACCATGCAAGATTATGCGCTTCAAACTTCTTTAATTTTAGTAGAAACGAAGAAACTCTAAGGTTCTATCTCAGCCGACATTGACAGTTTCGAGTCTTTACATTGTGAAACCAGTTTCATACTTGTACATACGTAGTCATAAAGCACCGGGACTCTATCTTCAGTTTAAAGTACAGTTTCGGACAAAATGGTTTGAACAAAATTTGTACATCTTAATGAGACGCAAAACTAAACAGACTCCGTGGTTTTAGTCCGCAAGCGACGAACTATACCGACCGAGCGACCGCCGCTTGTCGGCCAAGATAGTGCCAGCTTTAGCGGATAGATGGTGTCACGTGGTCAGCGCAACGAATCCCCACGGCCACTAATTTACACACAGCTTGTGTACGTAGTATATCGCAGTGATATAAATATTATGGTTAATTGTTTTAAATGAGAGGGCGAAGATGTCGGTCCTCTTCATCTATCTATGGCTCTACAGTCCTTTTGTTGGACCTTGGCCGCTTTTTCAGTTTCTTAATCCTATAGACAGTCGGTATAGCTCTTTTGACGGGAGAGTGAACCCGTCGCAAGCCCGCTACCTACACACAAAACAGCACATACAGAATAAAAGCGCACACAGACATCCAGACCTCGAGTGGGATTCGAACTCACGATCCCAGTATTCGAGAGGGCGAAGACGGTTCATGCCTTAGACAGTGCGGCCACTGTGATCGGCTCGGGCCGCTGCATAACGTAGAAAATTACCATAAAGCACCGCTGTTGGTGCGTTTGGGTGAGGGTCTGAGAACCCTTAGGACAGTCAGCTTCGAGTGGAACATGGGACAACATCGCAGAGTTAGAGCTCTGTCTCTATCGACACCACAAGCCGTTTCTTATTTAAATTCTACAGTAGCAGGTGATAATAGCTTACCTCCCAGAACACCTGTTTGCTGGTCTCACAGTCGTAATCTAGGAGGATACCTAGCTTGAAGTATGTGGCTGAGGAAACTTCAGTCGTCAGTTGCGGCTTGGTTGGAGCCATCCAGAACTGCCTCGTTACGAGATACTTCGTAAGCAACATGGTGTCTAGCCGAAACGAATGTTTCATCTTAATATCTCTTCTCATTAATTGTTTTCGCTAATATCAGTCTGAGCAATTTTTAACTTACCGGTTTGGGAACATGTGACGCATGAAATGACGTGGATGTGATGTCCAGAGAAGAAATCTCCAACGAATCTTATTATGGATGTATTTAGGATACCTTCAATTGAAGGCCATAATATCGATAAGAAGCAAATTATAATTTGTTCTGAAGTGAAAAGTTTCATCTTCACTCCTGGTAATGGTGTCTGAGAAAAGTATAATATAAATATCTTTTTATTGGATGTCGCTTGGGACTTCTCAGTTGGAGGCAGGTTTGTCCTCCACTGATTTAATGTTACATCTGTGTACAGCCTATAACTGCAGGCCTAACAAGATTGTAAATGTGTATTCGAGTTGAGTAAAATATTCTGAATTCCTTTATCTATATTGCGTAAAGAACGTTGCTCGGAAAACCTGAAAGGAAGAGACAGCTGAGGAAGATAATACAACATAATACAAAACGCATCCGAAAGCAGTGAGAGTGTGAATTCAGAGGCTTAGACTAGAATCCAGAGGCGGACTCCTTTTAACACTAATGAACTCACGGGCTCAGTAAAAGATTAGAATTTTTTTGACTAGGTTAAATAAAGGATTCTGCTTAATAGAGTCGATTAAAAGTTAAGTAGAACTGTGTTAATGTAGGTAAATAATTAAATTGTCCCTGTGCTTAACTAATTAAACACTACGCCATGAAGGCGTATGGGGGAGTGAAAGTACGAGAATAGTCCCACGTATTCTTGACCTCACAACTAGTTAAAGGCGAGTGGTCAGCTTCACGCCTCGACTGCTTTAACCCCCGGGGAAAGAACTCTGTTAGAACAGAGCACGTTTATGATATTAAAAGTGTTCAAGTTTGCGTTGAACACAATTTATTAGCTGTGCTCATGGTGCTCAACAAAAGTACTTCTTAAGACGATACTGAATAAAGAAAATCTGAGTTTTATACATTAGGATCATCGATAGAGTAATCGTAGTTCTTGTAATTTCAGAAGTTGAAGTTCCTTTTAATTTAATAATTTTCTCTTTAATTTCATGGACATGTTTTAAGAAACTAACCAATTAGATTCTCGGACGCTGCGTGTACAAACCCCCGAGCCAAAGACACAGCGATGAATATCTGTGTATTTGAACTAGTGCATTTACTGTGATTGAATCGATTTAAAATTATAATTTTCGCCCTGTGGCGTGCTGTTTGTAAATGTGAGTCGGACCTGAGGGCCGGTTGATAATGTTCGCTTCGCCGAAGACGATGGTCGCCAAGAACTTCAGGAATACTATCGCACTGTGCACCATAGCTATGCCTTTTCTTGTCCTTAATTTCTACGCAACTTTGTCTCAATTATTTAACGGGTAACCAAATTCATTGCCCCTTACTCCCTGAACTTATATGTTATGTACTTCTCCTTTGAGTAAGAAACATTCATTGAGAACCCCGTGTTTACACTTCAGCCGTAACTTGTTCTGACAGCACAAATATTGTCTTAAGAGAAAAAGTTGTTTAAAAATGAACTCAGTGTTGTCCATTACAAAGCTTGTAAGTCTTTCTGTGTTTGTTTATCTGTAGTTCTCGTCCTGACTAATGGTTCCGTGCTTTTCGTTAGTCGGATATGGCAGATGAGTTGCTTCTCCATAACTTCCTCAACACTGTGCTTGAGCTATAGGATAAGAACTTTCATGACAAATTTCGCTTGTGAAGAACTTGTCCATCTGCTACTATTCAGAATATTCGTTCAATGTTCAGTGCGTCGAATTTATTCCAATTAAATTTGAGTGAAGCATGATGCCATTCTTGAGTTATGATGATGATGGTAGATGTGGTGGTCAGTCTGCCGGGAACCTTCCATCTGAAGAAGGAAGACAAGGTTTTTGTCTATTTTTTCTTTGTTTCCTTCTCGTTTACCCCCTTTCTCGACGCTGAATTGAAAAGAAAAAACAGCAGAACAAGGAAAGGCAGGATGATTTGTAATAAAAATTGAGCCTTATATAGAGAAATGTAGTTGTAATGTTTTTTTTTTTGCTCTTTCATTATCCCTGAGGATAACCGCTTATCTTAATATTTTTTTAATATGTAGTACGATTTTTCGCTGTTATTTATCGACGTTTACTCAGCTTACCAAAGCATGAGTATGAGTTTGACTGTCGGCCCAATATAACCCTTACATTATTAAAGGGGAAACCGAATTATATAATATATCAAAAGCAGTTTATCAGATATAAATTTGGTCCGTAATATTATAGATCTAATTAAGATCGACAACTTTTGCTTGAATTTCTTTGCTGTGATGTATATATTAATGGAATCCATTTATAATATGCCATTCTACAGTTTTGTGTATGTTGATGAATTCTGCAACATTGAATTTGTATCAGCGAGTGTAGTTTCTAATCTGCTGCAAAATGAACTGGAACGCCGATGCGGTATACAGAATCGTTCATTAGATAACATTTGTACCACAGATTAAAGTATACCTTTCAACTCCTGTTTATTTCTTTGGAGTTTTCTAGACCGTAAAAGAACTCTCTACCATTTTCCGTACACCCCTTTTTTGCCAGTGTTCTGACTTGGTCTCTGCTGCAGACTTTACTTTCCTTCAGTTGAAATGCTGTAATAACAATTTACATGTAACAGAATTGGTTATCTCTGTTGATTTTATCTGACTCGCAGTGATCTGTTTGCAAGTCTCATTAGTCTGCAATGTTTATGGTCCTTCAGTATGAAACCGTTATGAAAACTAACCCTAAAATTATATTACAGTATTTGGTCAAAAGAATAATACTGTGATTTGTAGTAAAATTTCCAAATGCACAGTCTGTTCCTTTCAAACTTCCCACATTTCAGTTAATCATTGCTAAAAATTGTGATATATTATGGATTATAATTAACACCAGAGGAAAGAAAAACTCAAAGATGAAGCTACAGTATCTGGCCGCTTATACCTTGGCATGTTAGAACAGTTCCTGTATCCCCAGGTAACCAATCTGCAGCCTAACATAATCTTCCAACAAGATGGAGCCCCCCCCCCCTGACATTGGGGTCTGGATGTTCAGAGGTCCCTCAATGCCACCTTCCAAGATCGCTGGATTGGACGTGGCGGACCAATTCGTTGGCCACCACGTTCACCGGACCTCACTCCGCTCGATTTCTTCCTCTTGGGTTACGTGAAGGACCGTGTGTTCGTGCCTCCAGTGAATGACTTCTCAGATTTACGAGCTCGCATCCGTGAAACGGTTGCTACTGTACCAATGGACATGTTGGAAAGAACGTGGCAAGAAATTGAATACAGATCGGATATTGTTCGTGCTACTAATGGTGCATATGTAGAGGTATATTAATGTGTCAAATTTTTTTTGTGTTTTTCTTGTATTTCCTGCAGCTTCATATTCCTACCATTCATATTTTCTGTTCTAAGCTCTGATAAAAGGTTTGAATGGAACACCCCATTTCTTAAAGGAAGCTAGTTGTGTAGAACATTTTATATTACATATTTAAGGCCATGAGATATTTTAAATTCGCATAGTCGACGTTCATTTTGAAGCCGAGTTTTATGAAGCTTGATTTCATAGCAATTCAGTTTAGTATTCCTTGCAGTCACGTGAACATTGTAAACATGCTTATTGCCGACTTCTATTCACCTTTCTTCTTAGAAGAACATCTGAAAGAGAAACATATGCACACATAGATATTTGCTGATTAGGAAGGTACATGAATAGCAAAAAAAAAATCATAATTTATAGCAAAATCCCCTTTACCAAATGACGGTACTATTTACCCAGAATGTCGTTTGCAGTTATAATGGTTACTGATCTCCTTTGCTGGAGGAATAAATGAATGCCTGTTCTGAACTGTTTTTGTACAGACACTGTTAACGAGAGCTGATTATTCTCATGGACGGCCTCAACTAATTCCCATTTGCAAGGTAGAGTAACCTTGTTCAGTACCGTTTATCTACTCAGTATGATCAATTATTATGCATTTCACGCTTCTTCAAGGGAAACGCAAACCAGCCTACCCACTAGCCAATTCACACACATCACATGGCGTCCTTCACCGATTCTGTTAAGATTAGTCGGTCTCAGGAATGTTGGTAGAAGAGCTGCTTTTGAATTAAGAAAAAAAAAACGTATATGTACATATTGTGGCATATTTTCTCAAAGCAAGAACCGTGGAGCCAGAGAAACGACCGTTGCTAGCGAACAGCTCTGAAACAACATTTGTTTCTAGGCAACGATCGCGAACAAACACTTTCTCGCGGCAACAGTGGAGGTACTGTTGGAAACAGTTTTTTCTACCGTGGTTCGTGTCGAGGAGTTATATTGAGGATAATTGGAGAAAGAATGAGGCAGTTGGATGGGAGCCGCCATTCAGAGAGGACTTGAGCCCGGAAGCAGAGGAATAGCCATTGTTATAAGCCGTTACCAGGAGACGGCTGTGGAGACTGTAACAGACTGAGAACATTAGTCTGTGTGCACTAGTGATTTGTAAAGTGTGGAGATCAGAGATGGCGTTATAAGTAAGTGTAATTACGAGTTGTGTGTTAAATAGTCAATAAATCCAATAACCAAATCCAAAACCCCTTCGACAGTCACTAAAAATCGTGAAAGTATAATGTTCCTACGCTAACCTGCGCAGGCCCTGCATAGCCACACGTAACGAGGCTTGAACCAACTCAGATGTTTTACGAGTATATGTCCTTATTTAATGATTTCGTGGTAAAAGTTTTATGACCGTGTGTTTGTAGTATATAGTAATAGTGTGCTTAGTTTTGCGACATTAGATTTTTGTCAGGAACAAATACATGTATTTCCACTTGTTTTACGGAAGAAATCTGACCGATTCTATTAATATTTTGACTGAAAGACGCTTTGCTAAATGCACACTTTTGTAAGTATGATCGTACCTGACAGGTTTTCGATGTTGGGTTACTTTTAACGCGTAGGACACCCAAAGGCTCATGTCCCTCACCATCAGACTGCTCATTGGACCCTTCCTGAACCAGCTGATTTCAGTTTACATTCCCTTGGCCTATTTCCCTTAGGTCTGTTTTCAGTAATGTACTCCCTTCGACGTACATGTACCCGACTTATGATTTTAATTTTGGGTTTTATGAATCAAAGTTTTATATTCATTTCTAGTTACTCATGTCAATATGATGCCCAGCCGTTTTCAGCTTCTTTGATTTAAGTGCCCTAAGAATATTAATACCAATTTCGGAGATTTTGTGTTGACATTTTGTCTGTTCCCTGGTTAGTTTCTGAGCCGCGACAACTCGGCCAGCAGAATGAGGAGAATGGGGGAGTCTTTTCTTCACTACCGTGTATAGAGCGGCTGTGGGCTGAACCGACCTCTTGCCTAATGCATTAGGGCACTCTGGTGGGTAAAGCGGTCAGAGCTTAATGCTTGGGTACAGAGACAGCTTGCCATTACTTCTGTCACTTCATATCTGCTAGGTCTATTCTCTCCTGGGGACACTGCTCTACAGGCCGGAAGGTTGCGGGTTCGATTCACGATGAGGCCGTTGGATTATCAATTGACCTAATCCTTCCAGCCTCGCCATGGCCGTGTGGTCGACTCAGTCTCTATAAATGAGTACCAGGAATGTCTCTGGGGTTAAAGGGCGGCCGGCGCCTAAACAATCGTATGGGTCTCTACGTCCTGTTACAGGAATAGCTTTTTACCTATTCTCTCTTACGCGCATTGTTTTCAGACACTCAGTTTTCGTCCTAATATTAAAGCGAGATTATAAAATAGTCATTGCGTGCCTACACATAAAGGCACGTGTTCCGCAAAATTTATAAATGGCGTGCTAAAACAGTTAATGCGATAAGCTAAAACATTTTGAACATTGTTCATATAAGCCAATAGAATTTGTGTATGCTCCTATATGAAGTTATTTGTTTCCTTCTGTGGGAGCACGCGGTAGCGTAGTTGGTTGAGGCACTGTGCTACAAGCCGGAAGGCCGTGGGTTCGAATTCCAGTGAGGTGAATATTTCAGTTTACCTAATCCTTCCAACCGCAATATGACCCTGGGGTCGACTCAGTCCCTAACAGAAATGAGTACCAGGAATCTTTTTGGGGTGTAAAGGGCGGCCGATGCGTAAGGCTGACAACCTCACAGCCATCTCTGAGCCGACTGTCTAGATAATATGAGACCCTCAACATCTCACAACCCTATGGGCCTTCACGGCCTCTTACAGGGATAGCTTTGCTTTACCTTACGTGTACGTCTGTAAATCCAGGTGGCAGGAATCTTCGTTTGATCGCTATCGAGAACAAGACGTTTCGGTAATCTACATTTGTGTTCGGGAGACCATTGTTGGTTATTCATCTGCAAGTTATGAAACGTTGCATTTTATTTAATTCTCTCAAAAATCATAAGGCGTTTGGACTATATATATTTGGAATGAAATGCGTTTTTTCATTTTCTCCACATATTCATTTTAAATATTTTTCGCTCCGATAAATACAATATGCGCCAAAAATGCAGTACTGAAACTCGCGAATCTCGAACATGAATGTGCGTTTGTCGACGGAGCATAGCTCCAGCCGCACGTGTTCCCAGTAGTGAAAAGGAAGTTGTGTTGTGCAGTTGTTGTTGGAAATGGGTCTCTCGACGGAAGAAAAAGTATTCATAGTTGAGTATTATTTCCGCTCATACGGAAGTGGTCGCCAGACAACTCACTTCCTTGGTTTTGAGAGGCCAGATGTTATCGTCCAGAAACCGCTACACAGTACACGTGTGACGATATGGTGTGCCGTCTCAGAACACGGTATATTAGGCCTCTATTTCTTTGAGGATGAGGAACGCAGTGCTCTTACCGTCACCCAAGAACGCTACAGGGACCTAGTGATCGGACCATTTCTTCAGGATTTGAGAAGGTTCTGTCATGCAAGGGGCCTTCACATGAATAGACAGTGGTATCAACAGGACGTCTTTTCATTTCAGTACTGTAACTTTTGGGGCATACTGTATTTAACAATTGACGCTCGAGATACTCGCAGAAACGCATGTAAAGAGCCCGTTACGTTTGTCCGATTAAAAAAATGTTAGTAAAAGTCCCCAATATCAGTTGTTATGATCGGTTCATCAGTTGAACTATTTTGTATGCACAGACGGATGGATGGAAGGAGTGAATTTACGAGACGCTCCGCAAAGTTCCGAACGCGCCTAAGAAGACCGATTTGAACGTAATATTTTGGAACTGATTCTATGATTCTTCTTGACCGCCTCTGTGGTCTAGTAGAGTTCCTGACTACGGATCCAGAGGTCCTGGTTCATTTCCCAGCGCTACAAGATTTTCTGAGAAGTAGTGGGTCTGGAACGGGGTCTGTTCAGACTCGTGAGGATAATTGAGGAGCTGTTTCAATGAAATAGCGGCTCCTGTCTAGAAGACTGAAATTAAAGGCCTTGGGGATTCGTTGCACTGACCACGTTACACCCTCTATCCGCTAAAATTCGCACTATCTTCGCCGACAAGCGGCTGTCCCTCGGTCGGTATAGTTCGCTTTCGGACTACAGGCCACGGAGTTTTTTTTTCTATGCTTCTTACGTGAAATGTTGAAGGAGTTCCAAGAATAGAATGACGGATCCAATGATAACACCAAATAGGAAGATGAGCAAAGCGATAGCGACGTCCTCCATCTCCACACTGTAGAACTTGTCGAGGTACTGGCATTTGGGATGTTCCGGCCGCCACATCAGCAGTTCGCGCTTCATGATCCCCGTCTCCCACAACTTCCGAAATCTGAACAACAATATTATGTATCTCTTCTACAAAGTACACGATGAGCAAATATCTGTCCTTCCTTACTCCACATATTTTATCTCCGAAACTCATTTGCAAATTCTAATTAAATTTGTTGCTGGATCTGTACCAAACTTATCCGATGCATTTCCTTCTTTGTCCGTGTTGACCTGAAGTGATTCCTGCTTAACAAGTGAACGTAACAACTTTCTGAGGAAGGCTTATCTTGCTTAGAAGTAAATTAATCTAATATCTTAAGTTACAGATTCCATTAACTTGTGCAGTATTTATTTGGTATTTTTCGAGCTATCGTGTGCATATTTAAAGAACTATAACGGAGGCATTATGTATTACTTACCGGTAAACATGTCTCTGTGTGTCAGCAATTTGAACCTCGTATTTCTGCCATATTAGATGAAGAAAAGTACTATAAATAAAAACTGTATTTTTGTGTAATTTTTCAAATTATAAAGCCACTTTCCCTAATGAGTTAGCTTTAGCGTATCTACTGTCCCGTTCCTTTTTCAGGAGATTCGTAGCTGGTATCTAGTTCCAAAGAGAGGCTATTGTAACAGGATTTTCGTGGATTTAATATTTCTTTAGAACGAGACAAATACTAGGAAACAGTTCCCAAATTCATGATTAACAGTCATTCATTTAATGATATACAACGTAGATAATTGAAATACCATCGTTAGGAAAACTAATAATTAGTAATTAATTAATTTTTTTTAAAAGAAACAAGTGCAGAGTTTGTGCCTATATCATGAAAATCCTACATTTTGGCCATTCGCTTCTTTATGTTATGCGCGGTAACGTCAGAATGCTCTGGGACAGAAGCTAAAGCCGCAAGACTGCGGTAGGTGGCCTACAACAGCGATTTTCAATTGTTGTGATGATTCCCCTGCTGTTTGTATCTCTTTACGCGGGCGAAATACCGGCTGAAGGGCTGTCACGTCACAGATGCAGCAGAAGTTCAACTGACTTCAGAGATTGCGTGTCAAGGTATTGCTCATTTTACTTTTAGAAATGTTTTTATTATATAAATTCTTGCAGAAAGGTTGCCGAATTCGAGTAATAATTCCTGTCCCAGTGCATTATGAAGATACCACATCAGCCCATATTTAAAATCTCAACCGAATCGAGTTAAATAATTATAATCCAGTGCACTTAAAAACACCCTCTTAACGCTAGGTAAGCTCTCGATGTATTTATTTCTTTACTCTTCGACATATAAGACTCTTTGTGTGGTGAATTTGACTTTACTTTTACACTGATCAGAGTCGTTTTTGTCCGTGTATGTGAAGTTGGTGCAGGTGCAAGCTGATATTTATCTACCCATATTCAAGAAGCCTGCGATACGGTGATTTCTTCTGTATAACTGCGTATGTCATCTTTGGAGTGAACAGCTCGATTTCTGTGAGGGAGCATTTCTCCTCGTTGCTGAAAATTCGTTCGATGATCGGGTACAGAGCGATGGCCTCGTCGTGAATTGCAAATGGCTCCTTCTGCAGCTTCTGGATGGCTGCATCCACCGGGAAAGCGTAAGGAACTAAGCTTCTTGTTGGCTTCATTTTTTTGCTGTATAATTCTTTCACTGTCGGATCTGAAATTTCCTGAAAACGTAATTATTTTTTGGTATTAGTTCCACGTCTTTGTTAACCTGATTGATTGATATATTTTTCTACAGTAATGTTTAACTTCGTCTTTAGTCAGATATTATGTAGGACGATCAAGTCACGATGGATTTAATAGGAAAACTAAGCAAATTCTATTAATATGAATTTTAAGGGTATAATGTATAAGTATGGACTAGTTTTAACTGGTTCGTGGTGAGGTACATTAGCTAGCTTTTGTAGATATGGTAACGAATACTCTGACTATCTGTTATGAAAGGTGAAGAATACATAGACCATCTCAGTAACCATCAGTTTCTCAAAAAGGACATTGTTTTTCTTTATTTTAGGAGGTAGAAATGTTTGTTGTGAATAACAGCGAGTACTACTTGAATTCATTCATACCTCAATTTTGTCACGGGTTTCATTTCTGTTTGTTACTGGTATTAACCAGATATCTTGTGACACCCCCTCCCCCGCCAGCGGTGACGTAACACTTTCGGAGCGTTGCCACACGCCACAATATGGAACCGCTACAGTGTTGGCCTGTAAAGTTACTTTACCGTTTCCTGTACCTGGAAATACTCCCTGTTATGGCGGCTGTCCACGTATCCGACGTGTAGTTTACTGTTTATGACGTCTCGAACGTTGCGGATGGTGCGAGGTGGAGGTTGAAGAAGGTCCGATACCATACAGGCACCATAGTACGCGTTAAGTAACACCACCTGCACCAGCGTCACCAGGTACACGATCCGCCAAGTTATCCACTTCGATTCCATCTCACTGCCTGCCAAAATGATCAGGCCCTTTAACTTTACATGTTTTTAGTCCCATACTGTAGAAATCCCAGTTCTGCTTCGTAATTTGTACTCGTCAGTACTAACAAAGTGACCAGACAATTGTGGATTGTTAGTGAAGTTTGGAATTGTAGCACACACAGTAAAAAAAAAAGTAGAAAAGTAAAGCTATCCCTATACCAGGCCGTGATGGACCATAGGGTTGTGAGACGTTGAGGGTCCTACATTATCTAGACAATCGGCTCATAGATGGCGGCAAGGTTATCAACCTTACGTGCCGGCTGCTCTTTACCCCCAAGAATATTCTTGGTACTCATTTCTGTAAGAGGCTGAGTCGACCCCAGGGCCATAGTGCGGCTGGAAGGATTAGGTCAATTGAAAAAAATCCAATGACCTCATCGGGAGTTGAACTCGCGACCTTCCGGCTTGTAATATAGCCCCTCAACCAATTACGCTACCGCGTGCCCCCGTAGGACGTATGGTAGAGATAAGAAATACGTTATTTTACTCGTAAAACCTGGAGGTGAAAACGTATATTGGAGACCTAAAAGTAGATGTTGTGATAGTGTTAAAATATATATTTAAAGAATAGGATGGAAGGTTGTAGGCTGGATGCAACTGACTTAGTATAAGGCTCAGTGACGTCATCTTGTGAGAGACAATGGTGGACTTGATCAGCTGCTTCTCTCAAAGAACTCTGCTCCAAGGTGTTAGTTAATATTTGCCTAAGATAAATTAATTACTCTTCATTGAGTGGTTTTCTCCTACCTACTATTACATTATCCTTTACGTAACGAAAACTTATCTCCAAGAAAGATCACCACAAACGGAGACAACGAAGTTAGATCGCCCGACCAAAGTATCTTTACTACCTGAATGATAATCGTCGAAGGCCACTTTTTTTCACATTCCAACGAAGTTAAAGACCCTTTTGATAAGTATGTGTCAAGAGCTTCATTATCTTATTATTTCTTAATAATAATAATAATAATTCCAATTCTTTATATTTATATGCCGAGTCAGCAGCTACAAGGCCAATTACAGACAGAGCACAGTGTAGATACAAGTAATTACATTATGTACAGACACAATGTAAAGTCAAAAATAAATCACGTACAGGCAAGCCATGGAGGAAAAACATATTAATGCAGAGAAGTAAACAAACAACCAAACAAACAAACAAAGTAATAATAATAATAATTTCATTAACACAAATTTGAGTTGTTACTGAGAATCGAGAAACGTACAGTATAAATATTTAGAAAGAGTAATAATAATAATTCAATTAAATTCAATTATTCTTTGGGCACGTGTAAACTTAACAGCTCAGAGGCCAATTAGAAAGTTAGCACGAGTATGTAGAAGGACACAAAAACTAACAGACAAAATGCAAAATAGTGTAGTCTGTATAATAAAAAGTAAAGCTATCCCTGTACCAGGCCGTGAAGGCCCATAGGGTTGTGAGACGTTGAGG